TTAACAATACAGCTTAATGACATTTTGTTTTAAAAAACACAGGTTTTACTTACCAAAGAATGATTAACAAGATTTTAAAAGAAGAAATCGGTGAAACTCTATTAGTATACATGGACAATATGATAATGAAATTCGACAAAGAGTGACTTCATGACGGCCATCTCACCCACGTTTTTAATCAATTTTTGTGTATAACATGAGACTCAAATTTGAAAAATGCATGTTTGGGGTAAGGCCGGACAAATTTATGGGCTTCTACCTAACAGAGAGGGGCATAAAATCATCCCTGATAAATGAAGACTATGACAAAAAAGAAGACTATAATGAAGTTCAACGGGATTCACAACAACCTTAATAGATTCATCTTGAGATTAGCTCAACATGCATTTTCATTCTATAGATTGTTGAGGAAAGAAGTACATTTTGATTGGACCATAGGTTGAGAGTTAGCGTTCACTCACTAAAGGTAGTTCTATCCACCTCACATATTCAATCCAAACCATTTTCTAGAGAAACTTATTCCTATACACAGTCGTATCTGCCGAAGCAATTAACAACATACTCATGCAAGAGGTGGGAGCCATACAAAGTCTAGTATATTTTGCATCCAAAGTGCTAGAAGGCCCAGAAACGTGTTACCAGAAGATCGAGAAAATTACGTTGACCTTGTTTACAGCTTCGAGAAAGTTACAACGTTACATTTTGACACATACCATTGTCGTTCGGACTGACCGGTCTCTTATGCAAGTCCTCCACATGCCCTACCTCACATGACAAATGACAAATGATCAATCAAAATATTTGAGTTTGGTGTTTTCTTTGAGTCGAGTAAATCCCTAAAATTCCAAGTATTTGCGAACTTTCTTGCACAAATTACATTGGCCACTCCAAAACCATGCATAATATGGACCGTATTCACAAATAAGTCGTTTAATAGCATGAGAAATGGTGTTGGACTCATATTTGAGAGTGGAGCATGGATAATAATTGAGGCATGCTTACACTTTTAACTCTCCACTTCTAACAACCAACCATAGTTTGAGGCCTTTGTTATTGGTCTCACATTAGCCTTTAAAATGGGAGCAGAAGAAATCAAGTTGTGAATAGATTCAAACATGGTAGTATCCTAGGTCAAGGGAGAAGAATAAACCAAGGATCCCTTACTAAAAAACATGTCACCTTGATAAGAGAAAGGCAACCATAGACCTTTTTGGATTCAATTGATCATGGATCGACCTCTTATCTTTCTCCCACTTTAAAGAATCATCCCTCGTCATTTTTGGATGGTCCACAACATAGCTACTTGGAAAATTGTGAGATTTATCGCTCTACGTCTCAAAGTACGGGTGAGCCCGGATTGGTGCCCCCTCCTTCACAAATTCTTCGGGATGATTTTTAGGTTGTTCAAGGTTCTATATAGTATCCTCTTCTCTGAATTTTTTGAGTTGGTCCAGTCGAATATATCGTCTAGCTTGGAGAAGGAAGTGGATGAGCGTTCTTACCAAGGCCTTTCTTCATCGTGATCATCTCGTTAAAGGTGCTCATGTTATCTGTAAGATAGAAGAAAAACAATTATTAAACTAGATAATATGAGACATTAAACACATGCATTGAGTTAATTTCCTCCCCTCTCCAAAGATCACATTTCTTTATCGTCATCTGCCTCTACTAAGAACCGTGTCTCAATATATCGGCTTCTCTTCTGAGTCACTGACCCATCTGAAGGACTAACCTCATCTACAAAGCATAAGTTATTCGAAAAGGCGATAAGCTCAATCTTTAAATTCCTTTCCTCCAGAGACATATCATTCGACTTGTAAACATATTTGTTCAGAGTCTCTAAAAATTGGTTATAACTCCAATACATGGGAAATTTATCCATACATGTCAGTGGTGGGGTAAAAATGTGAGCCCTCTGGAAAGATACACAAGTTCTCATGAGCTTCACGGATTTCGGGAATGGCTAAGTAGTATCGATCTTTGAAGTACTTGAAAATCCCTATGTATACGTCAAATGTTTTCTTTGATTGGCATAACGAAAGCATCCTTTACTCCTATTTAACAATAGATAAGGTATGTTGTACATTAAATATCTGGAAGAATAACTTTAAAGTTGGGACATCATTCTTGTACTCACACCAATACTAGAATATCTTTACGTAAGCCCAACTTACTAAGTGAATTTGTAAGCGAGAAATTATTAAACAATTCATGACAATCACATCAAACTCGTTGAAAGGAATTCTAAATCTCATTTTAGTGAACAAACACTTGTGTAAAGGTAGCAAACACACATCAAAAATTGCTACACAATAATTTGATGGGTTATATATGAGAGACTGAATAATCAAAAGTTGGCCCACATCTCAATGGGTATTCTCCATCTAACGCACCTCATTGAAGATAGAAGTGACCCATATAACATCATTTTTCACACAGAGGTATTAATTAGCATCACCACGAAGCTCGAGGTATCGGTGTCCCCTCCAAACCATCTCATCCTCATTGTCAACAAGCAAAAAATTACAACGATGAGTTCTAGAATGTGATTTAGACTTAAGGTACCACCTAAACTCATTGTCACAAGGTTCTGACCATTTGAACGCCTAAAAGCCTTAATGAAAAGGAAAGCCTTCAGATTGCCCCAGTATCCCCTTACCATTTTTGGGTATACCATAAGTATCTTAGAGAAAGTAAAACCTTAACCAACCTCTTTGATGTCGAGCCTAAACGAGTTTAATCCCCCATCTCCATCCACATTCACCTTGAGGTCCTTCTCATTCCAAGGACCTTCAGACCCGTCATCGTAACCTTCAAAACTCCCTATAGGTTCGGAACACTCAATAATCTCTATAAAATCTACGGGATGGTGTATCACCTCTAAAGGAATCACGTCCAATATCTCAAAGTCAAAACCCTCATGCACAAGGAAGCATCACTTATATCATTCCCATTAGATAAATTCACAAATGCATGATTTTGATTTCCTATGTTAGCCATGGCTAAGAAATGAATGGGAAAAAATCTGGAAGGGTAAAGGAAGTAAGCATCGCATCAAGAAACTATGAAGTTGAAGTCAAATTGGTTGAAAAAGGATCACTAGAAACCTAGAAACGTCGCCAAAGTGAGAGAGCAAAAGTCAGACGAAACATGCAACAAATCACTAGACTTGTTTTTAAAATGCAATAGAGCATAACCAAGAAAAAGAAAGTACATGACATTTTGATAAAGAAGCAAAAGAACAAATTATTAGTAATAAACTCATTTTTATAGGTGATCGAAGTAAGCAAATCTATAACTAAGAATAGAGAGAATATCATAAGGAAAAATTAATGACTCATAATTAACCTTGACACCATAACGACACTTGTGTACAGTCAAGTGATATAGCAACGTCACCACTCTCTGTCTTAGGGCTAGGGTCACGTGTATGAAATTGATTGTGAAACATTTCAACTATAAGACATGCATTTAACGTGCATGTTTCCGAGGATACCTACTTCCAATCCTCTACCACGACCCCGAGATATGGATCACTCGAGCGCATCGTAGCAAGCAGAAAGGCTGGTCTGGAGGTTGGTCTTAAGATTTCTATCCTAATTCTAGCTTCACAAATGATAGCATGGACTCAAGGTGTAACTATTTTAGGTCGTCCGTCCAATAACTCAATAAAACCGATCTAACTCAAGTGACTTAATCCATAATAGTGGAAGCAAATAGGTAAACTTTTTCCAAAAACTCACATCATATTTAATCTGTCTGACAATCATCAATCGTCATATCGAATAAAACAATATCCTACATCTCACATGTAGTCAAGTGAGAGCGGGTTTTACCACCCCTCATATATACTATTTGTTATGCTCTGCAACAAATATTATCTCACTTCTTTACACCTCTTTAACTTCACAGATTTTTGCTCTAAAATACTAACTTTTGAAGTTCATTTTCGTTCCTGTGCATCAAAAGCTCTACCCCTACGTAAAAGTTTTTACCTCTGCAATGATTTACTGCTAGAATAGTAACAAATTTACATCATATAACTTTTTAAAGAAGTCTTTTATTTTTTAACAAAATCATCATTAATTGAAAACAATTAGCGAATCAAACATTTGGTTCTTCGGTATGAACTAAATTTATTTTCACCTTTTTGACTCTTGATACCAACTATATGTGATTAATCCGTTATTTCAAAAACCTTGTTACACTTAAAAGACACTTTTCTTTTGCAAACACTTAAAAGACAACTTCTCCTTTTCAAACTTTTAGAAGTTGAACACTAATTCTAACACTCCCAACCTCAATTTGCATTATCAATCGAGCCGCATCCATTAATTCTAATTACTACTCAAAAATATATTTTTTTAGTCTCCTAACCTAATTGCCAGAACTTCCAACCTTAAACTGTTACGTATTCAAATGTTTGCCTCTGTAAATCAATATCTTTATACAACTACTAATTAAACGACTAAACTACCAATTAAACTGATTTAATAGATTATTGCTCAAAATTTAATCATCAATAAATATAATATTGTTGAAAATCACTAATATTTTTTTATATCTTTTTAATAATTTGTTAAGAAAGGCGGGAGGAGAGAGAAGAGGGGGATGCATGAGGCAAATGCATATGGCGCCAAAAGCTGCGTGTCAGATACGATAGAGAAAGATAAGAGAATCCAATTTTGAAATGAAAAAAACCCAACCCAAAGGGTAATCTAATCACATGGGTTACCGAAACACAAGGCTGTATACTCAACCCCACCACTTAATTCAAATATGGCATTTTCCTTCTTACCGGTTTAACCGGTTGCCTCTCCCCTCTTTTCTCTCTCCCTCACACACCTCCAATAACCGCCTTTTAAACCGCTCATCACTCTCCGTCGTTCCTCCCTTTCTCTCTCCATCATCATTTCACTCTCTGCAGCGCCTCTTCCGCCGCAGAGACACACACAAAAAATACACAAATCTATCACATTACGTTCTTCGCATTTTCCGATATGGCTTCATCTAAACATGCATTCGGATTCGGAGTTGTGGCTATCCTCGTCACTCTCATTCTCGCTCTTTCCGTTCCCGCCGCTGTTCACGCTCAATCTCTTGCACCTGCACCTGCTCCTACCAGCGACGGTAACATTTTTTTTTCTCTTTTTCTCTTCTTCTTCTCAGATCTAGTTTACCAGATCTATTTTTTCCAGATCTCGATATTATATGTATATTATGCACTTGCATTGTTTTTATTTCGGATTAATTCTTCATTATCTTCTTTGTTGTTATTCAGGTTCATCGGTTGATCAAGGAATAGCTTATTTGTTGATGTTGTTGGCGCTGGTACTCACCTACATAATTCATTCGGCGGATATTTCATCTACCTTGTGAATTGCATGTTGTTGATGTGAAAGAGAGAGAGAGAGGTGTTTTTTTTTTTAAATTTATGATTAATAATTAAGCGCGTTGGTAGAATGCGGAGGAGAAAGGGTATATGTAATGTAGTAATAATGATATAGATTGAAAGGTGTTTTGATATGTTTGTTTATCTAGTGAATTAAAGAACGTGATGCGTGAATTTAAGAGAGGTTGTATTGTAGTTTAGCATAAGTAAAATGATGGATCTATGTATTATTATTATTATTATTATTATTATTATTATTATTATTGCAATCTCGTTAATGTGATTTTTGGCTTGGTAATTTTAATATCATCATCTAGTTTTTGTTAATTTGACTGCATTACCAGATTTATGAATAAGTAGCAATCGGGAATGAATTTTTCTAGTCAGAGAGGGTTTGCAAAAGTGAGAAGTGTCAAAGTTTGGCAATCCAAACATTATGAAACTTGGATATGACCCGTCTAAGTTTAAGATCCTACAAATTTTGACAACCCAGCAAGATTCTTTATGAGCTTTGATGTTCACATGATTGTTGTGACATTGACACACTCTAGTAGTCTAGTTGAGCTGCTAATAGCTTAATCAAGTAGATTTAAGACAATAGCAGCAAGACAATAAATTAGAAACACGTTGTATAATTCACCAAAAGAAGAAAAAAAGAACACTTATTGTATTGGAACAAATCATAATTCAACTTCAACTTGCAAGAAGTTATGTATATTTATGCAGAGGAAAACTGGAAATATTTTGCATTATTCCCAGGAACAAAGAACCAAAAAAAAAAACTATCAAAATCTGCATTATTTGTGGATATATGAAAGTATACAGCTTTTGCACATCAAAACAGTGATCAAATGGTAAAAGTGAAAGAGGTTCCTGGGAGTAGATGATACATGAAACTATGAATTCAATGGGACAGAGAAAGCTGTGATACCAATACACAATTAAGACTTCTTGTTGCTTGGATTAGTTTCTTGTTGTTCCTGGCCAGCTAGGGAAAATTTCTTCACTTTCTGTTGAATCAGAAAACAAAACAAACTCAACTAAAACACAGAAGATAATACAAAAATGACAACTGGTTTCATACATCTGCAATTCTGCATGCATGAACTCAACAATATCAAGCAATTGAGCTGGATTGAAAGAGAAAGGCAAAGCCATTAACAGTTAAGTCTTAAATGCATGACTGTATGGCATCAGGTGAGGACAATGACAACAAATATGCATTCTGATTAAAGTGTTTTCAATTCGTTTTACATACCAGATCAATGTGATTCGCATGATGCCATACCTATTCTGCTTACATATAAAATTCTATTATCCCAGCTAACTATCATAGTAAAGTCAAATAAAGCAAATATACTTCATCAAACTTCCATAGCTAAAAACACCTCAAACTGATCATCGGCTTCTTAGATTCTCTATAACATCGATATTTAAAAGAGAAATGCTACCTAGTGTTCTTAAGGGAATTAATGAAGAATCCTATTTATTGATTCTTTGATGAGCATCAGTAAGCAAGACCCTATTCAAAAACCATGAAATGATGCTATAAGAATGTAAAGGAATTCATGAATAGAAAATGGACTGAGAATTTTACTGGGCTCTGGATGGAATAGCCCAAAAGGGCACAAACTAGAGATGAGATCCTCTCCATTTCTCAAAAGAAATGGAGGGCACAACTACTTAAGTATTGGTGTATAAATGCAGATATTCTTGAAATGTGACATATATTTTGTATAATTTGACTTGTTTACAATGAAAACATTAGTAATGGAATTCTCCATTTCTTTTGAGAAATGGAGAGGATCCTTACCCAACCGGCAAGCGCCCAACATCGGGTCACAGGTTACCCATAAGACATGATAAGTCGCCTTATTTGGGCCTGGGCCTGACCACCCTAATCGAACCATGTTTCCTCCTTATTCAATTGGTGAGGTATGTGACACACACGGAATCAGTGAAAGGGGAAGAGCCACCTCCTCTAGGGATGGCAAAAAAATCCGTACCTACGGATAAAATCTTTCACGGATATAGGGCGGATAGCTTAATGGATATCTATGGATAAAATTAATAGATATTTAAATACCCGTTTGTTAGTGGATATGAATACGAGTTTAATGATACTCGTGCCCACGGATATCCATATTCGTTAATAAATTATAAAAATCATTTAAAAATCATTATTTTATTATACCTTATCTTTTTATCTTCTAAAAAAATTAGTCTCCATGTATTTCTTTCTTTTGAAATTTTATTTTACGAAAACCTTTCACATTTCATTCAAATTTTATTAGCCATTTCATATTTAAAATTTTCAGTACTTCATACTTCACTTTAACAATTTCATAGTTCATATTTAAACTTTTCAGTACTTCATACTTCACTTTAACAATTTCATAGTTCAACCAACTAGTGTTGTCATCCCACTATCGAACCAACGTCTCCCTTCCTACTCCTCTGTCGTCCGCTCTTCCATCATAACTCACAATCATAATATATTTTATTTGTTTGGTTAAAAATGAAATATATGGATATTATGTTTGGATTTAATTATGTTTCGGTGAATAAAAAGAAAATTAATGTGATGAAATGTTATTGTTAAGTATGGATTTTATGTGATAATAAATTTTTGTGTTTTTAAAAGAAGTTAAAAATATATATATTTTTAAAATATTATCTATGAATATATGTAAATATGCGTGGATACGTAAAACCCGCGGATTACCCGCTTAACGGATATCCGCATAGATATGGGACGGATATGGATATTATATTTATCCAACTGGATGAATACGGATCTCATAATATCTGTCCCATGAATATCTCCATTTATATTCCTAACCTCCTCTATGAAAAGAACACAATCCTCCCAATCCCACATCTTTGACCCACCAGAGAAGCGGAAACCACTCTTCTTGGTTTCTGCTCTCAACAACCCTTATGTGGGCAAGCTCTCGGACACACTCAAACACTCTAACATCAGTAATTACAATGAGCCAAGTCAGAATAGTGTGCCGGCAACATAAATGTCTTGAATTCATGATTTTCACTTCAATGCTTTATAATTTAAAGCTTTGAAAAAGTAAACAAAATTTTAAAAGCTTAGAGTTAGATGCAACAATGGGGGCTTCATAAGAATAAAATGCAGGAATTGAGAAAATATACAAACTACAAACAGACAACAACCAACACATTTCAAGCTTCATCAAAAGCTTAAAATACCTAAAATTGAACTTACCCTCACATATGAAATCAGGAAAGAAAAAAATCACAACTCTTTTCGATCAAAGAGATCATGAAATACAAAAATTTCCTAAACATATTTCCACAAGGATCAAAACTAACTCGTATTAATTCAAAAACGATAGAGCAATTCGGCATTGGATATGAGAGGAAAAGGAGTACCTTGGCGAGAACACACTCGCGCAACGAGTTCATAAGGGCGAGGCATTTATCTTTATCATACGACGGAGATTGTGCGACGCAATTTAGCAGATCGAGAGCTTCTTGGGCGCACACTGGTTTAGCACCACCTTCATCCATGGCCGATTTTTAGGGTAAGATTCGAAGATTTTCAATTAAAAGCTAAAACCCTTCGTGTTGCGGTGAATTAGAATTGACGTTTAAAAATGTTTACCAATTTCACATCAATTGAACAATATAAAAATAAAATAGAAAATAATATTTTAATAAAACTCATTCATTTAAAAAAAAAAAAGCAGCAAATATTGATTTATTCATCATTATCAGAAATATAAAGTTTAGAAAAAATAATAATAGTTAGATTGGGTAATTAAAATATAAATAGTTCTTTTATTTGTGTTGTTTGACATTACTAAATTATTTCTTCTTTTAAAATGAATGACATTTAAAAGTTTTTGTTCCGGTGTGGGCCTCACCTCGGCAGGCCCAATACCAAATACGGCCCAACAGGCGAACTGGGCACACCTGGCACACGCCCCTTCGGACGAGCAGGACCGTCCGCCGGGCACAAGCCATCACGCCGCATCCCCTTCGTCGCCCGTCACACCAGACGAGCGAGACTACCCGGGCTCCCTCCGCGGGAGAATAACGTGCTCGGCGCACGTTATCCATACGCTTCCCTCCGCGGGAGAATAACGTGCTCGGCGCACGTTCTCCACGTGCTCCCCTCCGCGGGGACACGTCATCGGCCAACCGCCCACCTCCGAAAGAGCAGGTCAAACCCACTTTCCGGAGACCTAGGAGCGGTTGAACTAGGGCGAAGACCACGTCCTGGTCTTCACTACGCCACGTAAGCCCTAGCAGTCATTAGGGTTGGGCCTGGTCGTCTGGCCCACCTCGAATGACCGTTGGCCCAGCGCTGGGGTCTCTCTATAAATACCCTCTTCTTCAAGAGGGTCAGGTAACTCTTCTTGCCCCCCTTTTCTGTACTATTGCTTCCTCTCTGTCCAACTTCTTACTTGGGCGTCGGAGTGCTTTGCAGGTACACCCCTTCCTCGTTCTTACCTCGGCGAACAGATAACCGTCCGGCGAAGCGTGGCCAGTCCGTGATCCCTCCTGATCAGGTCAGATCAGTGGCGCCGTCTGTGGGAACGGAAACTTCCCCGTTACTCCGAGCAGAAAAACCAAAAGTTTCACCAAACCTCCACGGTTATGGCCAGCCCACGCCGCGACGACACTCCGCTCGATCTCGCGCTCAACACTGCCACCAACGGGAAGCAGGTAGGAACGGCGCGCCTGAATGAAGCCGACGAAAGAGACGGGCAAACCGCCTCGCCATCGTCCGAGGAAAGGCCCCTGCACGCCGACCATCGCCCCCCGAGCCCGCCGGCATTCCACCCTGTTCCCATCCCGGCGGGAGCGGACCCCACGGTGGCCGCCCTCTTTGCAGCCATCAACCAGACGAACCAGCTGCTGTCCCAACAGAACGCTAGAATTGGAGCGTTGGAACGCGGCGGCTCCCCGAGGTACCCCCAGCGGGAAGACCAGAACGGAGGTTCGAGGAGCCCCTCACCTCGACCCAGGAACCGCCGACCGCGGTTGGAGAGACGCCGCCCCCAAGCGACACGGGAACGCACCAGATCCCCGGCAAGACACGGTCGCGGGAGGAACCAGAACGCCGCGGCGACCCCAACCGAGGAAACCCGAGGCGGGAGCACATGCCTGAGATCGAGGGCCCGAAACCCGGGACACACCGCGACCGGCTCATCCCCCCTGAGATCCCCGGCGCACAGCGACGAGGATGACTACCGCACCCCACTATCCCGGGAGATCATGGCGGCCCCTATACCCCAAGGAATGGAGAAGCCACCGACGCTGTCAACGTACGACGGCACCTCCGACCCGGACGATCATCTGGAAGACATCGAGGCCATGCTCGACTACCGCAATGTCCGGGGAGCTATCAAATGCAGACTCTTCCCGACGACTCTGAGGAAAGGCGCTATGACCTGGTACAAAGCCTGGAGCCCGAATCAGTTACATCGTGGAGGGTCTTGAAGGACCTATTCTCCAAACACTTCACAGCGTCCCGCCGTCACCCGAAGACGGAAGCAGTCCTCGGGGCGATCATCCAAGGCCCCGACGAACCCCTCCGGAAATACATCGAAAGATTTACTCGGGAAGCCGTACAGGTGACGACTTCCGACGAAATGAAACGCTACTTAATGGAGCAAGGCCTGCGCCATGACTCCAAATTCTACGAGGCCGTGGGCATACACCGGCCCACGTCCCTCCAAGACTTCCTCGACAGGGCCGCCCACTACATCCGGTTCGAGGAAACACAAGCGGCCAACTCCGCCCGCGACACCCGAGACAGAGAAGCCCCCCGCGGGCACCGAGACGACGGAGCTTCGAGCCACCGGCGAGGAGGGGACCGCCGTCGGGACGACCGCCACCGCGAACCCCGCGAACAGCGCGAGTCGCGCGGCCCGGCAGGAAGGTTCACCGAGTACACCGCCTTGGTCGCTTCCCGCGAACGCATACTGGCCGAATGCGCTAAAACCGAGTTTGTGCAGGGAGGTGTCCGTTTTCCACGACCAACGCCGCCCAAACCCAACGTGGACAAGTCAAAGTACTGCCGGTTCCACAGGACCCACGGGCATGTAACGGAAGACTGCATCCATCTCAAAGATGCGATCGAAATCCTAATCAAAGATGGGCACTTAAAGCGATACACCCGGGGAGGTGAACCACCCAGATCGGAGGCCCCGGAGGCAAAGAAAATCGAGGAGCTCCCCTGCCCAGAAGACGGTGAGAGACTCCAGGTCGCGCTGTGCGTCAGCCGCCCCGAGGACTGGTTCGCAAGCAGAGGACTCGGCATCCCCGAAGCACCCAGCTTAGTCGGCGAGCCAATCCGACCAACCAGCCGATGGGAATACTTCCCCAGAGCCATGGTCATCTCTGATGGCGCTACGAGGAGTCTGTCCATAGGATCTGTGAAAAGGAAATTCGACGAACTCATCGCGGGCAACTCCGGTAAGATGAGCACGCTCGACAGATTCCGAGGCCGCTCCAACCCGATCACGTTCTACCTCGAGGAACTACCCGGGGGATCTCCCAATTCCAACATACCCTTGCTCATACGCGCACGTATGGCAAACTTCGACGTCAGGCGCCTCCTCGTCGACGGAGGGAGCTCGGTTGACATAATGTACTCACATTTGTTCACGACTCTCCAGCTCAGCGAGTCCAACCTCTCCCCCTACGTAGGCTCCGACCTCCAGGGGTTCAACGGGACGACGACAAGACCCTGGGGATACGTGGAACTGAAAGTCACCTTTGGGGAAGAGGAAACGGCCAGAGACATCAGCATCCGCTTCTTAGTCATCGAATGCCCGTCCCTGTATAACTGCATCCTGGGCAGGACAACGATAGCAGAGCTCACCGCGGTACCCTCCACCGCCCACCTGAAGATGAAATATTACACGAGAAGGGGAGCCGTGGTCACCCTCAACGGCGACATCGAAGCTGCCCGAAGGTGTTTTGAAGCCGCACTGAAAGGCTTCGACTCCATCGCTCCACCGACCAAAAAGAAAGCACCGAGCGCTACGCCAAAGGACAAGCCAACAGAGCTGGTCGGATCAGTTGAGCTCGACAGTCGCTTCACCGACGAGCTCGACAATAAAAAGACTGACGCGGCCAACGAGCATCCAGCGCGCCCCATCCCGGATGGCGATTTCGAGCTCATTCCCCTCGGGGACGACACGACCAGAACCGTAAGGGTAGGCGCAGGACTCCCCGACCTCGCGAAACGACAGCTCCAAGCCTGCCTCCGCGAGAATGCCGACCTCTTCGCCTGGAGCGCCGCGGAAATGCCGGGACTCGACCCTGAGGTCGCCTGCCACCAGCTGTCCATCAGCCCGACCGCAAAGGCCGTGGTGCAACGCCGCCGCCGCCAGTCTCCAGAAAAATCGGCAGCAGCCGAACAAGCTGTAAAAGACCTCTTAGAGGCAAATTTTATTTCGGAAGCCCGGTATTCCACCTGGCTGTCCAACGTTGTACTTGTTAAAAAGAATAATGGAAAATGGCGCATGTGTGTTGACTACACTGACCTCAACCGGGCATGTCCTAAGGACGCCTACCCCCTCCCCAACATCGACAAGCTCGTCGACAACTCGGCGGGCTTCAAACTCTTGTCCTTCATGGACGCATACTCGGGATACAATCAGATCCCGATGGCCGAACACGACAAACAGGCCACGGCCTTCATGACAGCATCGGGCAATTACTATTACAACGTAATGCCTTTCGGCCTCAAAAACGCCGGGGCCACGTACCAACGGATGATGAACCGCGTCTTCCACAAGGAGATCGGAGACATGCTCGAAGTCTATATGGACGACATGATCGTCAAATCCGGCGCGGAAGACGACCATGCGGCACATCTCCAGAAGGTCTTCAAGACCGCGAGATCATGTCGCATGCGCTCTAACCCGGAGAAATGCACTTTCGGCGTCTGCGCCGGTAAATTCCTCGGCTACTACTTGACCGAACGGGGGATCGAAGCCAACCCGGACAAGTGCCACGCCTTCTCCAACATAACCACGCCGACCACGAAGCGTGCCATCCAGTCCCTCAACGGCGTACTAGCCTCCCTCTCACGATTCATCGCGAGATCGGCCCAACACGCCCTCCCGTTCTTCAAACTGCTCAGGAAGGAGACCAAGTTCGAATGGACGGACGAATGTGAGAGAGCCCTTCGCCACCTCAAACGCGTCCTCTCCGAACCACCAGTACTGACGCACCCCGCGACGGGCGAAACCCTGTACTTATATCTGGCCGTCTCTAACGAAGCCGTCAGCGCCGTCCTCGTGAGCGAAGCCGGGGAAGGACAAAAGCCCATTTATTTTACTAGTAAAGCCCTCCACGGCCCGGAGGCCCGATACCAGCTGATCGAGAAAGTCGCCCTGGCCCTCGTTACAGCGGCACGCCGACTCCGGCATTATTTTCTAGCACACACCATCGTGCTCCGCACCGACCAACCCCTCCGCCAGCTACTCAGCCGCCCAGACATGGCTGGGCGCATGCTGAAATGGTCGCTAGAGCTCTCCGAGTTCGAC